AAGTATGCTTAGTGCAAATATTACGAAAGCATTGGGTCTGCGCATTGCTTTTCGGTTTGTGTTTCATGTTGCAAACCGAATCATATTCGTGATCGCTTAATCGTCCGGGAGACAGTTTTACAAGAGATTCAGAGGATTGTTAGTAGTGCACCTTCACTCCAACTCTACTATTATTTCTGTCGTAGGCAAAATGGCATTCTGCAAAAAGTTAAGGTTTTTCATAACAACCAGTAAAAAAAAATGCGCGACAAATCACATATCAATTCAAGTACAATAGGCAGAACATTCAATGCAATCCTTCTTTGGCATCTGAAATAAAATCCATGTCCTAGCAGCCCTCTTTGTTCGTTAGTATGTTTAATATATTTTGGAGTGGCAATTCTCTTGTGGGTAACTATATGGACGGAAGGACAAACCATTAAGCAATCTAGCTACAGCTTACATACAGTATTGCACATGAGCATTTACTGTAAGTATAAAAAACTTAGAAAAATTGTAAGTTTTTTAGGCTGCATCGTTCACATTTGCATGGAGGTCCGACTTCCTTAACTTTATTCGTTGGACATAGACTTCCTTACCATGTCCATAATGGCCATCAAGAAGTAAAATTCAAAATGAATTATCACAGCGACCTTGTGTTTTCAATGATTCATTCTCAATTACAATGATATAGTCATTACATAAATATGTTTGATCTCGCAAGAGATTTTCATACACCAGCAAGCCTAGCGCGAACTAAATTGTTGGACGTACCTGACATCTTCGTTCTTCACAAGAGCTTTCCGTTCGTTATCATCATCCATTTTCATGATTTAACCTGAAAATTTTTATTGCAAGGCCATATAAACTCCTCATATAAAATGAGACACAAACATAAGTAACATCACTGCATCGCAACCATAGAAATGATCGCAGGCGAAGGTGAAGGATCCGGTTCGGATAATCCGATTAACCTAGATTCAGATTGTTGTTGTTGAAAATCTTCAGACGGCTAACCTGAAAACATGGAATGTAGAATGTGGAACGTTGGAATGCTGGAATGCTGGAACGATGGAACATGTTTTCTAAAACCTATATAACTACATGCAAACATATAGATTTGTATTTAATTCGGGTTTATTGGTAGGAGAACTTATCGTATCATCACAAACCAGCTCTTGCTCACTGCCTTTTGTATCGCACAATTTCAAATTTTTAAATTTTTTTTGTCTCTAGGTGCACAGATATCAGTTAACACCTATATTTTGTATTTTCATGTCCCACTTAAAAGGCAAACTTATTCATCATTATACGGAAAAGAACACGCTGCAGATTGAATTGCTGTTTGCATCACAGAATCGGAAAAACTATTTGCTATTGAATGAGTTATTTTGACACATGTTTATCTTGGATTTATCGTGGAATGTTAGGAGAGAATGAAAGGAGAAAGAAAGCCTGCTAAATCTGCATAGAGAGAAGACCCATTTATTGCTTGGAAGGAAGTGGCTAGAAAGTTTAATGCAGAATAAAGACGCCAAGTATAGCGGCCTTGGTCACGGTACAGCAACAACATGTAGAAGTAATAATAATGGAAACTTTTCATTTTGAATTTCTGTTAAAACTACAATTACAAATCTCACTATTACAAGGTAATTTGTAACTGGCTAGCCTGTGTTTACAAAATAAAAGGGGTGTAGCTCTGGATTAGTCCAAGTTCTGTTTCTACAGCAGAATATATAGTATGTGGTGCGAATGGAGATGCTTGTAAGTTTGGAGATGAGGTAGCGTTTCTGTTGATGATCAATGGACAAAGAGTCACACATGTCGATGAATGAGCTGCAGGAGTCGCCAAAAATACCAAGTGAACTGATGGAAAGATTGACAAATGAGACTGACTTAAACTGACGTTTTAAGTCAGATACGAGGGTGGCATATTTCCCTGACTTTCTGACAGGATTGCAGTTGAGATTTGTTTCAAAGCCTATCGTTAGCTCTAAAACGTACAGACAGTTTTCCTTAGTTTTGAGAAGTAAGTCAGGGCGTAGTTGATCTCCAGTTATGATAGAAGGAGAAAGAAAGCCTGGTAAATCTGCGTAGAGAGAAGACCCATTTATTGCTTGGAAGGAAGTGGCTAGAAAGTTTAATGCATAATTATGACGCCAAGTATAGCGTCCTTGGTCAAGGTACACTTTGCATCCAGCAACAACGTGTAGAAGTGTTTCTGGAAGAAGACAGAATTCACAGTCAGATGTTTGACTAAGGTTCCATTTCAGCAGATTTTTACGAGTTGGAAGAGTGTTGTTAAGGTACTTGATGGTAAAGTTAAAGATGTTACTAGGCAAATTGCTTTGTGTACTTGACCAAATACCGTTCAGCTTTTCCAGTGAATGTTTCAGTAGGAAGGTAATTGTGGCTCCCTGAGATGTTAAGTTTTGGGAGAGACGTAATAATGGAAACTTTTCATTTTGAATTCCTGTTAAAACTACAATTACAAATCTCACTATTACAAGGTAATTTGTAACTGACTAGCCTGTGTTTACAAAATAAAAACTATTACATCGTAGTAATGAGAAAAAAAAAAAAAATTGTTAAAAGGGGTGTAGCTCTGGATTAGTCCAAGTTTTGTTTCTACAGCAGAATATATAGTATGTGGTGCGAATGGAGATGCTTGTAAGTTTGGAGATGAGGTAGCGTTTCTGTTGATGATCAATGGACAAAGAGTCACACATGTCGATGAATGAGCTGCAGGAGTCGCCAAAAATACCAAGTGAACTGATGGAAAGATTGACAAACGAGACTGACTTAAACTGACGTTTTAAGTCAGATACGAGGGATCAGATATTATTATTATAATAATAATAATAATAATAATAATAATAATAGAAATGGCGCCGTGCTGAGAGGACGTGTTTGGAATCTCGCACGAGAACCTAAAATAATGCTCTCATTATGCGTATTTTAGGAAAGGAGCATGTAATTATATTATTGATATCTATATATCAATGTATAATTAGCGACCTGCAACACTTCCAAAGTCAAACAGGAGTCGCAAAAGCGAAATACAGAATGGAAGATGGGGAACAACATCAAAGCAGCCATGCTCGACGCCAATCAAAAACAAATTGGACCGCAAAAATGAATATGGATCTGCTCAACTGCAGAGAAAAGGCCAAAAGTACCCATACAAGAGCTGACTGCCCACGCAAACCAAATGGACGAAAGACTGGAGTGATGGAGCTCACAAAAATCTTTTGGGAAGAAATTGGTTACGCAGATTTAGGCAAAACAGCACAGAACTTGCGAGACCAAGCTGCACGCATTGAGAAGATGACACTAACAGACCAACAGACAATACAAAATGAGATAATAGAACAAACAGAATGCCAAATAAAAGACAATGCTGCATTGAATAATGTAGAAATCGAACAAAGGAGCATTGAAAATCCACCCTTTACGCCAGATGCGGAGCTAGACAGTCATTTCAAAGGTATACAAGAAAAGGTCAAACAAAAATATCTTGATGTAAAAACAATCCCTGGGGACTGGAGTAGACGTGGTTTAAACACATATGTAAAAAAGAAGCCAACATGTAAAGAACTGCAAGACCTGCAAGGAATTCTTATGGGTTTGGAAATGCATAGCCCAAAGGAAGAACCAACGAAATACCTGTGGGATGTGAACTGTGCAATGTATGCAACGATTTGTGGATGGAAGTTAGCATGCGATCATAAAGATGGGAATAACAACAGCAACAGCCATGGAAAGCAAAAGGGCATTCCAGTCTGGGAAAAACGAATGAATGAGAAAATGAACAAAATTAGGGGCAAGATCTCACAAATTGCCGAGGAAATACAGAGAATAAAGAATAATAAGAAACTTACGAAAAACATGAGAAGAAACAGGAGGTGGATGAAAAGAGAACTGAAGGGTAGAATAACCCTAAATGGGTTACTGGAAATAAGGGAACACAAGATTAGTGTGGTAAAATCAATGAAATACAATAAGGAAAAGAAAAAAGGTCAGATCGTGAGAAACAAAATTAACAGGCTATATGACACAGACCAAAGAAAAGTATACAACACGTTTAGAGAAATCCTGAAAAACGATGACTCGGATGATGTGAGTTTTAAGACAAGAAGCGACAAAACCGGAAGCCAAACAACACTTACCAAAGAAGATTTTGAAGACTACTGGCCAAAAATTTGGAGCGAAGAATCGAAGGTAAATCTGGAAGCAAAATGGATCAAAGACGTTGAGCAAGCCATTAGCCAGTCAACAGCAGTCAATGATGATGAAATCGTAAATATCACAAAGGAGAAATTCACGAATATGCTTAAAACGAAAAAAAACTGGTCGTCACCCGGTAAAGATAAAATAGTGAATTACTGGCTCAAAGCGTTTACAACTACACATGAAGGTATATCGGTAGCAGTCACTGAACTGATTAACAAGCAGACACCTATTCCCACATGGTTACTTGAAGGAAGATGTGGGCTACACCCAAAAAAGCTCCAACCAAAAGCACCTGACCATCGTCCCATCACCTGCTTAAATACGATGTACAAGTCAATCACTTCACTCGTAGGCGAATATCTACCATTAAAGACGCTACAGATGGATCAGAGAGGAGGTAGACCTGGAGTAATGGGATGCACTGACAACATGTTAATTGACAAAATGATCCTAGAAGATGCAAAAATGAATAAAAATAATTTATCAATGGTTTGGACTGATGTAAGAAAAGCATTTGATTCCGTGACACACGCTTGGATTCTTAAGGTGTTATCAATGAATAAGACAAACAAACGAATCATAAAGTTTGTAGAAAACATAATGAAAGGCTGGAAAATCTCAATAACCGTCGATACAGTAAATGGAAAGGAACATTGGAGCCAATAAATGTCAAGAGAGGTATACTGCAAGGAGACAGCTTTGTTGTCAAGCTTTTTGTACTATGTCTTGACCCAATAGCTTGGACGATTAGAGGATATGAGGGTTACCAACTGACGCACGACAGGACAATGAAGATAACACACCTATTATATGTTGACGATTTAAAACTCTATGCAAAGTCAGAGAACAAAATATCAGTCGTGACAAAGAAAGTTAAGGAAATGTATGAAGATATTGGGATGTCCTGGGGCCTGGAAAAGTGTGCTTCTTTGCATGTAGTTAGAGGGAAAGTATCAAAGAGCGAAGATTTACCAATAGGGGCAAAGGATTCCATCTCAGTTATGGAATCTAGCGACAAGTACAAATTCCTTGGAAAGTATGAAAATTTCGAACAGCTGGACAAGTTCACGTTCCAACAAGCAGAAAAAGAGTATCTACGAAGATTGAATGCTATATGGTCATCACCCTTGTCAGTACCAAGAAAACAGACAGCTTGCATCGTCTTTGCTTTGCCTACATTAGAATACTTCATGGGGACGAGTAATTGGTTGATAGCAGATATTCAAAATCTTGACAGGAAAAGCAGAAAGGTAGTCGAGATGCATAAAGGAAAACACATCTCAGAATCAATAGCAATGCTCTATTTGCCACAGAAATGTGGTGGAAGGGGCTTCAAGTCTGTAGAGGATACCTATAAGATCTCAAAAATTAAGGTGGCACATCACATTAACATAAGCAAAGATCCAAGAATAAAGCTGGTACGCTCGTTCCAACATTACAAAAGCAAAAAGAACTTCAAGTCAATTTTTGTTGAAGCAACAAGGTACGCAAAGGAACATTTCAAAGCTGACTTGAGTCTTTTAGAGGAAAAGTCTGTATTAAGCTATGAACAGGAAAGAGTGGAGTTAAAAGATGACAACTATATACAGATCCAACGCAGACTAGGAAGTATCCTTCAAAGACTATATGAAGAAAGAGTTAGAAACCAACCTTGGTTAGGATTCTACACGGTTTCAATACAAGATAATGATGAAATATCAAAAAACAGTAGAAACATTTTTCGAAGCTGGAAAAACATCCCAGATATAGTTTTATCGACAAATGAATCAATAAAGCAACAGTTACTACCTACCAAAGCGTATTCAAAGTACAAGTTAAAGATGGAAACTGCAAATACAACATGTAGTCTATGTAAGCAAGCAGAAGAAACAGTCGTTCATTTGCTGTGCTCCTGTGCAGCATTAGCACAAACACTCTACAAGGCACGACACGATAGAATGTTAAGACCTATTTATCATCTAATACGAGCAAAGTTTGAATTTGATGGAAATAATCGTGGAGTTCCATGGTACAAGCAAGCATTACCTCTTGCAAGCATCGAAAATGATCGTGCTAAGATTATGTGGGACAAACCGATGCACTTAGACAAAAGACCAAGCAACAATGCCATTAAGCCTGATATGCTGATAATTGACAAAGTAGGAAAAAAGGTCAGTTTGATAGAGGGGACTATATGTGCACCTGGATGTATTGCCAAGAGAGAGAAAGAAAAACAAGACAAGTATTCTGAAATGAGAAAGTCACTGGAACGGTTAAATCGTGAATACGAAATAGATCAAATCAATGTTGTATTTGACTTCCGAGGCTGTTACAGCAAGCAATTGGAGTGTCATATCAAGAGACTATGTGAAGGAGAGAAGGAGGCAAAATTAGTAATCGAACAATGCCAAAAATGGGTACTCAGCCAAAACTGCGAGATTGTTAAAACTTTTTATGAAAGAAAATAGAACAACACAAATAGTCTGCCTAGGCATTAGCCAGCAGTATAGTGGACACAACAAAAAGCAACAGAAACAATTTTGACAATAATAATAATAATAATAATAATAATAATAATAATAATAATACATGGGTGGTATCGTTGCTGAGATATGGAGCAGGAATACTGAATTGGAGAAAGGACGAGATAACAGAAATTGATCGAAGAACTAGAAAGCTGATGACAATGAATAAAGCATTTAATCCAAAAAGCGACGTTTCTAGGTTGTACGCGAAAAGGAAACAAGGTGGAAGAGGCTTGATAGGTATTGAAATGTGCGTAGAAGGAGAGGAAAATAATCTAGCTTGGTATATAAAAAATACCACGGAGGAAATGTTACAAATGGTAAGAATCCACGGCCATTTGAATACTGAGGAATGTAAAGATCCAAAAGTCGTCAGGAAAGAAGGTAAGGAGAAAACTATGAGAGAGTGGAAGGAAAAGAAATTGCACGGACAATACTTAAATGAAAACGAAGCAGTTGATTGGGATAAAACTTCGGGATGGTTGAGCAAAGGCGACCTTAAATGCACAACTGAAGCATTGATATGTAGTGCACAGGAGCAATCACTGAGAACAAACTATTTGAAATACCATATTGAAAAATCAGTGGAATCTCCGTTGTGTAGGATGTGCCATGAAAAAGGAGAAAGTGTCAATCATATTGTTAGTGAATGTTCCAAGTTGGCGCAAAGAGAGTACAAAAGAAGACATGACAATGTGGCAAGGTATGTGCATTGGGCAATGTGTAAAAAGGCAAATATAGAAAGAGCGAATGAGTGGTATAACCAGCAGCCAAATAGCTGTGCTGAAAATGAAGAGTACAAGTTGTTATGGGATATGATGATACAATGCGACCAACACATACAAGCTAGAAAACCAGACATTGTATTGCTGAACAAAAGAACTAAGGAGGCTACAATAATGAATATCGCCATTCCGGGTGACAAAAGGGTACAAGAAAAAGAAGTAGAGAAAATTGAAAAATACCAATGAGAAATGACAATACTTTGGGATCTGAAAAAGGTCAAAGTGGTTCCCGTGGTGATTGGTGCTCTGGGAATTATTACTAAGAAGTTTGAAGGATACACCAAGGAATGTGATGACAATATCAGGATTGAAGTAATACAAAAAACGACTTTGTTAGGTTCTGCTCGAATCTTAAGGAGAGTACTGTCTATGTAGGACACGGAGAATGAAGCCTTGAAACCTTTGGTAGCTTGTTGCTACCTGCTTTCAAGGAATTTACCGAATTCAAAAACTAATTCGAGAAATATGGAATTGAACATAATAATAATAATAATGGAAACTTTTCATTTTGAATTCCAGTTAAAACTACAATTACAAATCTCACTATTACAAGGTAATTTGTAACTGGCTAGCCTGTTTTTACAAAATATGACTATTACAATCGTAGTAAAGAGAAAAGAAAAAAAAAACGTTAAAAGGGGAGTAGCTCTGGGTTAGTCCATGTTTTGTTCCTACAGCAAAAAATGTAATAGGTGGTACGAATGGATATCGTAGAAAGCTTAGAAATGAGATATCGTTTGTGTTGATCATCGATGGAAAGAGAGTGACACATTTCAAGGAATGAGCTGCATGAGTCGCCGAAGATGCCAAGAGAGCTGATGGAGAGATTTACAAATATGACAGATTTGAACCTTGGTCTTA